TCACAGGGAATTCTAGGTAGACTCCGCCTTAGTGTTTTCTAGGGCTGCAGCTACTGATTTTTTTCATAATCGATTAGTTAGCCGATTAATCGATTAATTTGATTAAAAAATAATGTAAAATAAAATACACAGCGATACCTGACATGTAGCACAATCATCGTTTTTCTATGTAGGTGCAACCGACTTGTGTTTCTGTTAGTATACGCGCGTTTGCAGGGTTGGGGGACTTTCAATTTTCTCGAGGGGGGGGATTAATTTTTTTTTTTTTACCTCATTGCTATCACACGGGGAGGACTCACAAGTCCCCTATGTGATGACACATTGGAGGTGACGGGTTCTCTTTAAGGTGACATTGGTCTTTTAGACCCCTCGTGTCACCTTTACACTTGACTGGATTCAGCTGCTGAGGCCACTGAATGTAAATGCAGGGGCTGGGAGCAATAGTCAGCCTGTTATTGGTTATTTTAAATTGCAATAGCCAATAGCAGGCTGGCTATTGCACCCGCCCACTGCCTGCTGTCAATGAGCAATGAGTAGAGAAAGTTCTCCATCAGGTCCTCCTCTGCTGATTGACAGCAGGCAGTGGGAGGGTGCAATAGCCAGCCTGCTATTGCATTTTAAAGTATCCAATAGCAGGCTGACTATTGTTTCCAGGGTCCGCGCCTTTTCCACTTGATTAACTATTAATTGTCCGTTCTGTGTGTTCACGGGGAGGAGAGGAGCGGTAGCTCTAGACTACACACAGAATGGACCTTCCCTTCTTTGATTGAGAGTGAAGACTTCTGGGTACGTCTGGGGAGCGCATTATTAAACAAATAAGGAGCATGGACAGCTGACATGTTGAGATATATAACCAAAAAGAGACTGTTTAATCCAGTGGAAAAGGAGCGGACACTTGTAACATTGTGAACTGTCTTGATGGACGTAGGGGCAGCAGCGGAGGTGGGGAGCGGGGGATTTCAGAGTCACCAGGCCTCTTCTCCCCTCTCGTGCCGGCTGCAGCAGTCTGTGAAATCCCCCGCTGCTCTCCCCCTCATACCTCTGCTGCCAGCAACTAATCGAAAATCAACTAATCGATGATGGGAATAGTTGCCAACTGTTCTCATCATCGATTAGTTGTTGCAGCTCTAGTGTTTTCTGCACACTTGCCGCCGCAGTGCTCCCCCCTCCCCTGAAGAGGAAAGAATACTTCCTTGCTCCCTCTTTTGGGATTCTTGTGCCAGAGTTGGACATTTTCTGACGCTGCTGGAACCCGGAATGTTTGGGTTAAATGATGAAAAAAAAAGGATCTTTTGTATTTTATTGTTTCTGATCCGCATGCAAGGTGACCTAGAAGGAGTTCCCCTAAATCAGTTCACCAGAGCGGGCGCCCACCTTCTTGCCCTTTCAGCTAGGTGGTACATAAGCACCGTTTCCTGGCCATGGGGAAGCTGAAGAAACCTGGGCCCATCGCCTCCGGGTCATCATGGCGTGTTAGAAAGCTTGTCCTTCATTCCACCGGCGTCGTGTTAGGAAGCCCCCCTCCCCCCCCCCCCGGCACAGGGGCCAGCCCGGTCTCCAACAG